TCATACTCTCTAGTAGAATAACTTCAGGGTTTCTATATATGGCCTTTTACTAGAAGTAATCAAAACATAGAACTATAAATCATACTCTCTGGAATAACTTCAGGGTTTCTAAGTATGGCCTTTTACTAGAAGTAATCAAAACATAGAACTATAAATCATACTCTCTGGAATAACTTCAGGGTTTCTATGATTTATAGTTCTATGTTTTGATTACTTCTAGTAAAAGGCCATACTTACTCTCTAGTAGAATAACTTCAGGGTTTCTATATATGGCCTTTTACTAGAAGTAATCAAAACATAGAACTATAAATCATACTCTCTAGTAGAATAACTTCAGGGTTTCTATATATGGCCTTTTACTAGAAGTAATCAAAACATAGAACTATAAATCATACTCGCTAGAATAACTTCAGAGTTTCTAAGTATGGCCTTTTACTAGAAGTAATCAAAACATAGAACTATAAATCATACTCTCTAGAAGAACTTCGGGGTTTCTAAGTATGGCCTTTTACTAGAAGTAATCAAAACATAGAACTATAAATCATACTCTCTAGAATAACTTCAGGGTTTCTAAGCATGGCCTTCTGAAGTGCTGGAAGTAGTAACTCTTTGAAGTCATCATGACTCACTTGACGAAGCAGATATCGGCTATGTTCCTAGAGATAAAAGTTAGGAATAAATATTTTATACTAACTTCCAGAAAGCAAAAATTGTTTGGACAATAGCAAAACAAAGTAGTTTCACTAACATTAAGAAATACTGCAGAGAAATCATCTTATGTCTTTCACATTAATTGTTAACTTTTAACTTTAAATTTTAAAATTTGTGAGGTCTCCAAAAATTAACTGTAACAAATTAACTTATCAAGAAAATAAAAATAAGGTTATGCTTTCCAGTTAGCATGTCATAGTTTTATGTATGAGTGTGAGGTTGGGTTGAGATTCTTCTAGAGTAGGTGTCTGTGACTTGTTGGTGATAAATTCAACAATAAACGAACAGCACACACTCCACTCCTTTCAGACTAATATATTCATAATAAGTCAAACTGTGTACAAAAATTCTTTACACTATGGATATCACATGTTGTATCTCAAACTATAACTAACTTTCTTTTCTTGTCAAAAGTCCACTTAGGCTGATTCAATTACTTTAAAATCCAATTGACAAGGCAAACTAACTTTCTTTATCTTCTTTTCTTACAATACAAATCAGTGAATAATTCACTTATGCTACCATTTTGCATCCTGAACCCTAAATAATTGTCTCCTTTTTGTCAAAGTCCACACAGACAGATTCAGTTACTTTGGAACACTCTTTGACAAGACAAATTATTCTCCTTATTTCTGTTAAACTTTGTAGGACCTTCACTTTCTTGTCCCCAATATATCCTTCACCTAGTGACATGTTGTTATTTGGTATCACCTCTTGATATTTGTAACGTGATCCAATCTCTATTGGCACTGTTGATCCATTTTCTAACTTCAGCCGACCATTAGTCGTATGCTGATCAATCACCGATGAGCCAACCATTAGTCGTACGCTGATCAACCATTGATCAGCCGATCCATTAGTCATACGCTGATCAATCATTGATCAGCCGACCATTAGTCATACGCTGATCAATCATTGATTAGCCGACCATTAGCCATACTTTTATCAATCATTGATCAGCCGACCATTAGTCGTACGCTGATCAATCATTGATCAGCCGACCATTAGTCGTACGCTGATCAATCATTGATCAGCCGACCATTAGTCGTACGCTGATCAACCATTGATCAGCCGACCATTAGTCGTACGCTGATCAATCATTGATCAGCTGACCATTAGTCGTACGCTGATCAATCATTGATCAGCCGACCATTAGTCGTACGCTGATCAATCATTGATCAGCCGACCATTAGTCATACGCTGGTCAACCATTGATTAATTCTGTTTCTTCTGACAGTAGTGACAATCAATTTTTTCTTGTTTCTTGCCAGCTATAGCTGTTTTATGTTGAGATTTCTGCTGTTGCTTGTTGGTGATGGAATTGCACTCATGTGCAATGTGTCCTATAACAAATATAGCATATCTTCTCAGTAAAGCACGTGCTCATGAACTGTTCACATGCTTAGTAGGTCTGCCAGTCCATCAAAACTATTGTCACACTTGGCCATGTCAGTCCATCTTGTGAAGTATCGCCATAGATGTGCCACAAACTGAAATAGTTTCTTCAGTGTTAGGTTTGACTTCTCTGAACTTCCGATGAAAATCTTCTTCACTAAGTTCATATGGTTTCAGCAATGCCACTTTTAATTTGTTGTAGTCCATGGCATCTTCTAACAGCATGCCTGCATATACTTGTAGGCCTTTTCCTGTGAGAAGTGGGCTGAGACAAACTACCCAGTAGCCTTTGTCCATTTCTGATTTTGGGCAAATCTTTCACATCTCTCCAGGAAAGCATCCATGTCATCTTTCTATTCATCAAATTTGGGCAGCTTGAGTCAGCTGGCCCTAACTCCATTGTCATACTTGGATCTTTCTACTTTCAAAAGACGAAATCCTGAATGTAGGTCTGCAGAAACTGAAGAAAAAACCCTTCAGTGCAGAAACTTTGGGAAAAATGTCCAGGAGAAAGTTGAGCACAAGACAAAGGGATTTACAGAATAGCGGACCAGAAGGGAGTGCTGTACCAGATCCATCAATGCAGTTATACTGGGGAAGGTAAACAGACCATGGTACCAACAGAATACTGGACACAAGTGAAGATGGCTCACAAGTTGACTGTGGGAGGACAAAAGACGGAATTACCGGCAACTTCCATTGACCGGGAGTCATTGGAGATATGAGCAGATTCTGTAGGTCATGTGACATCTTCCAAAGGACAATACTTAGAGGGAAGGTAGTTAAGGTGGAGATGCCTCTCTGACAAATATCGACATTTCAATATCAGACAGAGGGTTTTAGTTCTGCTACCCACAGCCAACAACAAAGTCACCCAGCAATGGCAAGGACCTTTTGCAGTACAGGAAGTGGTCAACAGAATGCACTATGAGGTGAAAGTGGATGAGGCAACCAAGGACTACTATGCCAACCTGTTGAAGAGGTACTCTGAGAGAGAAGAAGACCTTACGGGTGTAGCTATTGAGGTACAAATGGATATGGCAGGCGTAGCTGTCATAGATGCAGAACCAGAAAACAGTAACTGTTATAGAAGATGAAGACCTACTACACCTAAGACCATTGAGTGGAGATGAGACATACAAGGACATCAATATAAGTGAAGAAATGACTGGCAAGAAGAAAAAAAAAAAAAGGTACAAAATCTACTGTGTCAGTAGACAGATAGATCAGTAAAGACAGATCTCAGGCAACACAAAATCAAGTTAAAGACAAAGGATCCTGTGAAGGTGAGGCCTTACTGGAGGCCCTATGAGAAGAGAGACCAACAAGGAAACTGCAAATGTTGAAGTAGACTACATGAGAAGACTTAGTATACGAACTAAGAACAGTCTTTATGTATAGTGTGAAAACATATTTTTTGGATATATAAGACTGCTTAGTATAGATGTTATTATTTCATTTATTTTGTGAGTTAATATTTAATGATTGTTTAGTTTTTATAACAAGTGTGTTAAAAATTAATCAGTTTAAAAACAATAGTTATAACAGGTTTTGTTGCATAACTCGGTAAGAGTCGTACATTGTTGTCTAGGCATTACTAATATTGTTGATATCATGTTACTTGAATATTTGGTATTTTTCTCATTACCTTAAGTGAGAATTACCTTACAGTGCTGCTCGTGTAGTTTATAGAAAGTTCAAGGCCTCAGTTGGGCAACGTATAAATATAGGCAACCAAGTGAGTGAAAGACAAGTGAAGTAAAGTTCAGTACAGTGCAGTTCGGTTTGAAAATTATTTATCGATAAAAAACATGAACTTTACATAAAAATTAGTGATTAGCCATAACAGGTGATATTTTAAAGTGAGTTTCACAGTTAAATAGAGATAAACAAAATAATTTTAAGTGGCGTAAACCATTCTTGGGAAGAGTTAAAAAAAAAGTTTTAATCAATACAAAAATATCATCCATTGCTAGCAGTTTCCAAAAAGCATTAACACATGATATAGCCATTGTTGACCGCAGTGACTGTGCGAGTACTGATTATATGTGTCAGGAATCGGTGCAGCAAAGACAGTTCAGCCTATCAGCATGAGTTAAACACTTTGGAAGTATATCGCTCATGATTGCGGTGCAAAGTAAGGTAGTAAATGCCAGATGGTGCTAATTTATTTTTAGTTACGCATTCTTCATGATGATTTTGGATATTTTTATGTCTTGATTACTGTTATACAAGTATATATATATACACACACACACAATATATATATATATAAGTGGGACAAACCAAAGCCACTGGCCAGGATATGCCACTGATAATTTGTCTTGTCAAAGGGTGTTCTAGGGTAATTGAACCTGTCTGTGTGGAATTTGACGAAAAGGAGACACTTAATTAAAACTTGAGACTTTACAACTGTGGTAACCCATTGAGTAATGTAAGTACAGTAAGAAACAGAGTAAAGAAAAATAGTTCATCTCGTCAATTGGATTCTAAAGTAATTGAATCAGCTTGAGTGGCCTTTTGACAAGAAAGGAGAATTATTTAGAGTTTTTAGATAAAACTGTGATTTCCTACATAAAGAATTTATGTACATATGTTTGACTTGTTTTGAATATATTATTATAAAACAAGTGGATTGTGTGCTATCCATTTATTGTTCAAATGTATCACCAACAAGTCACAGACAACGGCTGTAGAAGAATCCAAAGCCCACTCATATTTAAGTCCTTAACATGCAGGATCTTCTAAATCAAACTGTTAGGAATTAATCACACTATCATTCACATTTGAAAATGTGATGTGCTTTAAAGAATAGAAATGTAGATTTACTGTATGTCATTGTTGAGTGGCTCTTAGTACGACTAAAATGGTCAAAAATTACTTTTCACAGTGGGCAGTATAAGTAGCTCAGAGCTATATAACTTTTTAAAAGACTATGAAATAATTTAAACTGATAGTTTAACTTAAACTTTTCCTGTCACTGGGGACGGGTACTTTTGCTTGTTTAAAAACAACTTATTTTTTTTATACTATTTATAATGCTCCCTTGTAAAATATTGTTAGGTTAACTAAAAATACCACCAACAATGAAAGTACCCTACTATTGACATAATGTAGTTCAATTAAAATTCTATAAAATTTGACATTTTTACAGTTATATTTATACCATTGTTGTTTTTCACAATCACTACAAATTGGAAAACATTTTACAGTTATGCTACAGGTCTTATTACACTTCTAAGTTGGACTTAACTTGGGACAGACCATTCTTGTTTTAGCATTAACATTACTTTGCTTATTTCTGATAATTAACCATAATTATAATATTATAAAAGGATAGTTTTATTTCTAGCATTAATATAAGACTTGCTTACTTCTAGTATTTTCGATAATTACTAGACTACAAAAGGAAACTGTTATAGGCTAACATTAGGCTTACTTACCTCTAATAATTCTCAATTATTGCTAAACAATAAGGGATACAATTTCTATTTCTAGTATTAACATTAGATTTCAGATAATTTTACATAATCTGTATGATTACTGAATTTATTAATATGTGGATATTGGACTATATTACAAGAGGTATTACTAATTACCAAAATAAAGAAGGCATTCTTTGAATGTTAAGATTATTTGTAATTACTCAACTTACCAAAGTAAACAAAGAAGGCTTCGTTTTGCTTCCTAATACGATTTTAGTGAACAACTCCAAAAATTGTCTCTGTTTTAAAAGACAAGACAATTAATTAGACAACTAGAAATCACGTAAAAACTGGCTTTAAATCACGTTAACGTATTGTTGTATCTTCAATGCTGATCATAAAAAATATAAATGTACGTTTCCTTATTTATTTACTATATTTCAAAAGTTGTTTCAACTGTTTTTTATGATCTTTAACACGATTGATGATAGAAAAACCAACAGTTACGATGATACAAAAAATTTTTACATACATTTAAAAGGATTTAATTCAAACGTATTAAAAATTATTTCAAGATTTATGCGAAAAACATTTTACATAATGTCTATTTCACGCAAAAACAGCATACTCTGCAAACAACATGACGGATATTTCCACGAAAAAACTTTATATGAAAATAGAATGAAATTATTTTCCATCATTATACCTGGTTTAGATACTGTGTATAAAGTCTCGAGTACAGATTGTAACAATTTGTGTTAAATGTTACTTTTTATGAATCAATGTGAACTTGAATTCGATGACGAGGAACCCACTTTGAGACTGATAATTGTTGGAGATGGCTTGAATGGGTAATGAAGAAAAACGTTAATATAAATTTAACCTGATGATGACAAAACCTTGTTGAAACGTTGCACATCTGCTATTATGTCAAACTTATATTAAAGTTTTTCTTCATTACCCATTCAAGACGTCTCCAACAATGTGAACTTGAGCTTTACACTGTTAATATATATATAATGTAAATAAGTGTTTTTACATTATAACTTACCTTGTGTTTTATTATGGCCGTGGAAGATTTAGAACCAGTCAGGTATTTCACCAGAGTCCCCCACATGATCAGTATACTAACTTGAGCTTTACACTGTTAATATATATAATGTAAATAAGTGTTTTTATGTTATACCTTACCTTGTGTTTTATTATGGCCGTGGAAGATTTAGAACCAGTCAGGTATTTCACCAGAGTCCCCCACATGATCAGTATACTAACAGCTGGTTCACAGGTTTCCAGAACTTCTAAAAAGTGTTCTATACTTGAAGGATTCTAAGTATACAGACCAGTTCATTAGTATCCAACAAAAAATATACCAGCTTTTACAAGGATTTCAAACCTAACTAAATACAATACATTAAGGGGCCAAATCCATAAAATTTCTATATCACTATATCACATTAAGGGGCCAAGTACATTAAAAATTGTATATCACTATGTCACATTAAGGGGCCAAGTCCATACAAATTTGTATATCACTATGTCACATTAAGGGGCCAAGTCCATCCAAACATGCATATTATTATGTCACATTAAGGGGTCAAGTCCATCCAAACATGTATATCACCATGTCACATTAAGGGGCCAAGTCCATCCAAACATGCATATTATTATGTCACATTAAGGGGTCAAGTCCATCCAAACATGTATATCACCATGTCACATTAAGGGACCAAGTCCACACAAACACGTATATCACTATATCAAATTAAGGGGCCAAGTCCATCCAAACATGTATATCACTATGTCACATTAAGGGGCCAAGTCCATCCAAACATTTATATCAGTATGTCACATTAAGGGGCCAAGTCCATCCAAACATGTATATCACTATGTCACATTAAGGGGCCAAGTCCATCCAAACATGTATATCAGTA